CTTGTGAGAAATTCATCGATATTTTGCTGTTTATGAAATATACAGAAGACATCGTCTACATATCTGATCCACATCTTTGGTTTGTTAGTGCTGAATCTGTTTAATTTCTGTTCGAGTTTGGAGACGACTATACCAGCCAAGATGGGTGAGAGAGGCGAACCCATTGCAACCCCATCTTGTTGAATATAGTTTTCATTTTGAAATCGAAAAGGAATATTGATGACACTTAGTTGTAATAACTTTTTAATTGTTGACGATCATATGAGCATGTAGTAGAATTATCTTTATCTTTGAATATAATATCCAGAGTGATGCTAATCGCTTCATGTACAGGGACATTGGTATAAAGAGATTCAATGTCGAAGCTCACCATTATTTCATTTTTGTTAGATTTTAAGTTTATAATGTTCTTTACAAATTCAAAACTGTCTTTTATATACGAAGATGGTTTTTCTCGTTCATTTGTGATTATTTGCGCTAAGTGTTTCGATAGGTTATAACTATATGTGGCAACAGAGGAGATGATAGGACGGATCGGATAGTTTGCTTTGTGTGCTTTCGGTTGTCCATAAAAGACAGAAGTTGAGGCACATGTTGAATGTAAGTGATAAAATGTCTTTTGATCTATCACATTTTGTTCGTATAGTGCTCTTATATATTTATTCATTGCATTCTCTTGTTGTTTAACTAAGTTGATTTTTCTAGACGTCTACTTAATTGTCTAATTTTCTGTTCTTTTTCTTTTTTGTACTCTTATTGAGTCAAATCTGGCGTCATTCGTTTATTCAATAATAAATATCAATAATAAATCAAAATAATAGCACTGCGATGTGTATTAATCATGTTTGTAGCAGTTCTGTATTTCTTACTACGTAGTTTTTAAGTACTGTAGTTGTCCACCGTACTTGCCCTCAGTTATTATGAAGCATTACCATTATGTCTCTTTCAGAAAGTGGAATGAGTATGTTATTATCACACGTGAATGTTTAGAGCATGATAGCTTTTTGACGTCAATGTACTCAAAAGCCAAGGTGCAATTACATCGTATTGCTGGTGCTTTACATGTTGCTAAAGTGGCTAGTGAAGTAATAGCACAATGCGGAACACGTAGTTTGAAATATCATGATTTAAGTAAAGAAACAGTTACTGATAAACAACGCGTAGTCGATCTTTATATAACAACCACAAATTATCAAACAATTCAATGGATACAGCCCACAAAGCGTGTTTGTTAACAGACTATTTCGTGACGCAAAAGAAGATGATTGGTGGTCGTCTTGTTGATGAAAATATTGATGATCTTCGAAATCGTTTTCAAGATAATGAATCTGTATCCTCTCGTAATAACATCCAGCACCAAAGTGCCAAAACTAATATCTCACATGAAAATTTTATTAGCACCAGGTGAGAAAATTCAATGGACTTATGTCGTTAACCACAACGGAGGTTTCAAGTCAAATCAATTGCAAGCTGCCGCCAAAGAATTAGAAAGAGAAGGACTTGGTGAGTTATCGAGAAATTTTTACTATTTTAACCTCCCTAAGATTGAAGGATAGAGATCGATGACTTTAACTATAAATCTGTAACAATCTGAGTTTGGATCATCGTAGTTGTAGTTTTAATAGCAGAGATGCTTTCTCTTTATCAACTCGAGAATTTCGCGTTGAATACTCAGAAAGAAAATACACAGATGGTCAAGGAGAGCCTCTCACTACAGTAGTTCTTTTTGTATAGGTTTCTTATCAAAACAAAAAATAAATCCGAGCGCCAGAAAATCCACTGAATATTTCACAAAAAAGATTATCAATATCCTAACTGAAAGTGTGGCAAATGTCATAGAATTTACCGACAAGTTACAAAAGTTTCAAGTATCATTACCTGAATATATCAGAAGTATCGAAATGCAGGTCACAAAAAATAACGAGTAAAATCAACTGACTAATATGGAAGTAGGGGAATCCAACGAGAATGATCCACCAGCTGCCAATTCTCAAGCAAGAACAACACAATATGCTACTGCTGCTGCCACTACTTCACCTTCTACTACTCAACGTCATCGTGCTGTACCACGTGCACCTGCCACATTTTCACAGCAACAACTAGAGATAAAATCGCGATCATATTCTCGTTCACCATCTCAAGAAATTCATTATACGTTAGAAAATCTCAACAGATCACCAGTCCTTGATTTAGCAAACAAAAGAACAGGACAATAGTCAAAATAACTATTTACATTGAATAGAACACAGCTCTTTGCATGTTTGTATGATTTACTCACTTTTAGTTTAATTTAGTACATGATTATATTCACGTATGTTAATCGTCCAATCGTACTTCAAGCTATTATTCACCAATCCGTTTAAAGAAAGAACACTTTGTTTTCTCTTAGAGACCGGTCTGATTTGGGAACATCTGCAACTTATATAATATCTAGATGTTCAGATATTCAGATATCTTCCTCTTTTCTTTCACGGTGGCGAATATCAGGTAGAGTCTCACTCTCATCTTCCCTGTCACCCCCACCTTCCCTTTTCCCGATTTCTAGAACATCTGAATATCTAAATATTTAACTTGAATATCTGAATATCTGAACATCTAGATATGCATCTAGATATATTATGCAAATTGCAGATGTTCCCAAATCAGACCGGTCTCGCAATTCTAGAGCATACACAAGGAAAACAGAAGAAAGTTGAACAGTATCATTACCTATAAATATTAAATATGCCGCATTTGGTTTACGAAACTTCTGTTGGGGGAAAGTTGACTTCCTCTAGCTCTTGCAACATCTTCATTCAATCTTCATGAAGATTGAATGACAAATTGAGTGACAAATTTTATTTACATTTTGTTTTTATTTTATATGACAGTCGTAGTCATACAACCGTATACAGTCATAGATTCTTCCTTAAACAACTATGGTCAAGAAGGAAAAAAATTCGAAGTTATTCTCAGTGTAAAAATATTGGCTGTAAAACAAAACGATGATTCAAGTAGAGATGGGCACCGGGACCAAAAAAATTTTCTGGTCCCGGTAAAAGATTTGATTGCGATTCCATTACCTTCACAGTTAAAATATCATTTGACCGTGCATTTTGTAGAGAAATGTTTGCTCTTTCAGCCTATATATTATAAAATATACCACAGGCCTTGGTTACGAATTAATTTGACAAATACAATGTCCGGGACCAGATTGGCCCCAGTCATGTATGTGCTAAATTAATTGATCAAAAAGACTCGCGATATATTTTATAATATATAGGCTGAAAGAGCAAACATTTCTCTACAAAGTGCACGGTCAAATGATATTTTAACTGTGAAGGTAATGGAATCGCAATCAAATCTTTTACCGGGACCAGAAAATTTTTTTGGTCCCGGTGCCCATATCTAGATTCAAGAATTTCCAAGATCTTGGTACAAAAAGTCAAGAAATTACAAGATGTTCAAGATCTTGACTTCTTGAAATTTCTTGAATTCCTATATTTACCGAGATCTTGAATCAAGATCTTGGTAAAAAATTTTTGAAAAAATTCAAAAAGTCAAGATCTTGGTTACAAGAAGTTTCACTAGAGTAGTATAACTGCCTTTATTTGTAATTGCATAAATATATAAAGTTACTTTTTCTTCATAAATGATGACGCGATAAGAAAAGCGAAATTTCTATATGTGAAACGTATAAGCATACAAGCTTCGGCCTTTTTCAGAATACGAACTGTTTCAGCAGGTCGTTTTTGCACATGTGAGATATCGCATGTGGTTCAATACTTACTAGTGGTTTATCTTCGAAAACATTCTCCATAGTAAAACTTGTTATCAGCAAAAATTCGACATTCGTGTCAAACCCGACTTAATTCAGTTGTTATAAGCTTTATTTAGTAAGAAGGCAAGAAAAGGATTAGGTTAAAAATAAATATAAGAACATCACAAATAGAAAGAGGAAAAACCCATGACATCATCTTGTCTGTTCATGAAGAAAAAAGTTGCTAGTGTATAATAACATTAAAGATACATACATACACATTAGGTCTGACTGATAACAGACACAGAAAGACGAAATGAAGTGAATACGTATCAGTAACAGTGATTAAGTATCAGTACAAAACGGTCGAAAAACCGCATCCCGATAACACTTTCTGTAAGTCAGATCATCTTTCCTGTCAGAAACTTTTTATAAATACAAGTTATTGCTGACCTAAAACATTTTCATATTTCACGAAGGGAAAGGTAATAATGTTTCAACTTTTCGAAATGAAGAAGGTTCACATTCTCTATATTTATTCAACTTTGATTTTTATATCAATCTGTTTAATATATCGAATTATCAATGAGAGGCAAGATCAATCTCAGGATAAAGCAATTTTTTGTTAAGTTTGTCATGTGCCAGTGAAATGGCAGGATGTACTAAGTATATATATTCACTAAGAACTGGGTTTTCTCCCACTACGAAAACAAAATATAGATGGCTTTGTACTTTCCTTATCCAGGCTGTTTTATCATTGTTCTCTTATTCTTCTACGTATTCTGTCTTTGTTTGT